ATTAATTTGTAATGCTGGCAATACTCTAATGTTGGCTCTCTCTCTCTCTCTCTCTCTCTCTCCAATACAGGCCACGTTGAGGTATTGAAAAAAGTTACCTGGATGATCACTGATAGTAAACAGCGTACAACTCTAAATGGTTTTGTCAAAAAATTGATCGCCGATTTGGCCGAGTATTTCTCAAAGTTTGACCAATTATTGGGTGGCGTTCCCGAAGAGGTGCGGCTCCGGGCAATGGACGAGTCGGCCACTGACTTTCAGCTAATATTTTATCGCGAAATGAAACGTGGTTGTTTGGTACGCATGATGTCGGTGAATATGGTGTCCGTATGGCGTAACCTACACTTACGAGAGTACGTTAAACTTCAGGCCCAGTATCGGCCCCAACCCCTGTCCGATATGATTATGATAATGGATATTAATATGAAACGCGTGGCCACAGTGTATAAGAATATCATCGATAGCCACAGCGGCAATATAACTGCCGCCCAAGAGCTTGAGCTGATCCAATTGGTCAAAGACGTGAAAGAGGTGGATGGTAGATTTATCAATGCTATGTAGGCTTAATTGGTAATTGTAATGTGTTTGTATTTATGAAATAAATTTAATGCTGCTATTAATACACAAGTAAACGCAGTGTTTATTATTTAAAACAATGTTTATATAATTAATGTACATTTAATTAAACTCATGCGTTCAGTACACGACAGAGTGATAGCCAACATTAGAGTATTGCCAGCATTACAAATTAATTGTTTGATAATATGCAATAAGAAGATGCTAATTTTGGTAGAAATTTATAAAAATAGTTTTCACAGATTATTCTGACCAAAAATTCATATATAAAGTTCCAATGTTTATGAAATATACTATAGGTCGCGAGGTTTTCAAGTTAACTAATAATTTGTTCTAATTATTAGTTAACATTGTTTGTATTTTATTAATTTGAATATTAATAATTATAAAATATTTTAATTAATGTACTGTATAATTAATTACATAAATTAACAAAATAATCAACATTTAAGTTTATGATTTATGAGCATAGATTACAAATTAAATCAATTTTAATACAAAATATTATTTACATTGCGTCATATACTGTATAACAGTCACTCTAGCTAAGATAGTGAAATTGCAAATGCAATAATTATTTTTTAATAAACATCTGTCAAAAATCTGATATAGAATATAATTTATTTAATTATTAATTATAAAATTTTTACTGTTAATGATATTTAAAATGTTTATGGATTAACTTAATCATTTGTTTGATTGAATTTAGCTAACAGCACATTAATTTAAAATGTTCCTGATAAAATATACATTATTAATTATTTTGATAAAACTAGTCAAAACAAACCAAACCAACAGGTATTACACATTTATATGTGTTTTTCCATTTTGATAATTTTTAAGCAATTAATTTATGTTTATTAATTTTAGCTATGTTAATTAATAATTATTTTAATTTAGTATTGTGTCAGAAACAGCACAAGTTTCTAACAATAAGTCCATAAGTCCTGTTACTACAGATCACCCAATAATTCCCGTCACTACTGATCGGCCCATAAGTATTAGTACTAATACTTCGGGCAAAACATTAAGTGAACGCCTGTTGGAGCCGTTGATGGAGTCGTTGCCGAAACTGTTTGTCGAGGACTACGTCCAGGAAATACTAATGACGGGAGAAATGAGTGCAGAAAACATACGATACGGACAGAAGTACTGGAAGAGAACCAAACAAGTGATGCTCAGTGAGTAGTGGTGTCCATAAAACCAGATAAATATATGTATGAAAGGGATGGGAGGGGGAAGTGGAGGGGCATTGAGTTTATACTTTATTTGGTTATGTATGGTTTGGAATAGTTATTCTAATAAAATATTGCTCACTTACTTAATGTTTACTTTACTATTAACAAGTAAGTAAAATAACATTTGGAAATGATGAATTTTGTATAAAAATAAAGTAATAACAAAAAATTAATGATTTTAACCAACATCTTTTTTGTTTGTAACCCATTAATAAACAGCGCGTTTAGAAATGCTAAAACGTGCGCTAACTGTGGCCATCAATGATAACGAGCGCCAGTTTCTGGACCGAGTTGTGTTAGGAATGGGCCGAAAACTGGACAAATATTTGGCCAATTTTGAACACTTATTGGGCGGCATTGAAGACGACATACTAATGCACGCGCCCACCGATACGCTCATAGAAAACCATCTAGTACTTTGGCGCGAAATGAAACGTGGTTCATTTGTACGGATGATGGCCACCGATTTGGTGCCCCTCTGGCATATATTACAGCTCCGGAAGTATCTGAAACGTCAGCCCCAATTCAAGCTGAGCCCGTTGTCTAACTATTTACTGTATACAGACTTTAATATCGTAGGAGTGTTCAACTTTTATAAGAGTGTCATTGACTCTCACGCGACAAATATAACCGCCGCCGAAGAGCTCGAGCTCTTTCAATTGATCCGTGAAACGAATGATCTCGATCTCAAATTTCATATAAGTATGCAAACGTGGTATACACAACGTTTATGCAATATTTTGTGTAATATTTGCATAGTAGTAATGCTGTATTAACTTCACACAGTATCGCATACACCTTGTCAAATAATGTGTATATTGCATGATTACCATAATGTAGTAATAAAATTCAAATATTGATATTTTTTATTTTCAGTGCCTATCCTTCCAAAGGACAAGACTTTATGCGATCGAGTGTTTGATTCAGTAGAGGACGCGATGGCAAAGATGTATAAAACAGATTTCGTTCAGAAAGTATTAATGAACGCAACGCTGACTGAAGAAAATATACGGTTCGGTCGTAACTATTGGAAGCGATACAATGATTTTTTTACGAGTGAGTAGTAAAATGTTTTATTTAAATTAATATATACTATATGTGCATGTAAATAGACATGTAGCTAAGTGCGTTTAAATGTGCATGTAAATTACAATATTTTAATTCACATTCATGGCTTGTAAGAGTTAGTGAGCGTGATGTATAAATTAAACTACGAATCATTTCATTCTCCCCCTCCCCACAAACAATCTAAATTAATCCAGGTCGTTTTGAGGGAATCAAAAAATTGTCCACAATGGCTCCCAACGATAATCAGCGTAAAATACTAAAAGGGTTTTTAAAAAATTTGCTCTTTGGGGTTGGCGAGTATTACGCAAAGTTTGAACAACTATTGGGCGGCGTTCCCGATGAGGTGCGGCTCCGGGCAATGGACGGGCCGGCCATTGACTTTCAGCTAATAATTTATCGCGAAATGAAACGTGGTTCGTTTTTACGCATGATGTTGGTCGAAATGGTGTCCGTATGGCGTACACTACACCTACGAGAGTACGTTAAACTTCAGCCCCAGTATCGGCCCCAACCCCTGTCTAATATGATTTTGTTTGCGGACTTTAATTTGAGGCAAACTGTTACTTTGTATAAAAATATTATTGACAGCAACAGCGCCAATATAACGGCCGCCGAAGAGCTCGAGCTGATCCAATTGGTCAAAGAATTGAAGGAAGTAGATGATCAATTTATTAAAGCTATGTATTAATTGTTTGTATGTTTATTGTAACGAGTTTGTATTAATGAAATAAATGCTAGATAATTAGCAAATGTTTATTAAATGTGGTGTTAATAAATAAAATGTTTATATAATTTATATTATATTTAATTATAATTATAATATTTACATTTAATAAATTTCATGCGTTGAATACACGACGAAGTGATAGCCAGTCGGATGATGTGTGCCACTAGTGTGACCACCAGTGCTCTATTTCAGAGAACAGCTTTCTATTTTGACCTGTATTTAAACATAATAGAGAACTGTTCTCTATTTTAATTTTATAATAATGTGATTATTTTACAAATATTGGTAAATATTTGCCAAAACTATGCAATATTTACATATCGTGTGTTGTAGTCAATACGGATACCGTTAATTATTTGTCTATATTAAAACATTTTAGACGTAATTATTTTCTAATAAAAATCTGTCAAAAATATGGTATACAATTTAATTTAGATAATTGTAAATACTAAAATTTTTACAATTTACTTCAAAATATATTAAGTGTTTCTAAATTAATATAACTGTTTGGTTGAATCTAGCTACAAGTACCTTAATTTAAAATGTTTTTTATAAAATTTACAGTATTGTTTATTTTGATAAACCTGGTCAAAACAAACCAAATCAACAGGTATTAGTAATAGCGTATTACAAATTAATATATGTTAAATTTTATGTTAAATTATATTTATTAATTTTAGCCGTGTTAATTAATAATTATTTTAATTTAGTATTGTGTCAGAAACAGCACAAATTTTTAACAATAGGTCCATAAGTCCTGTTTCTACAAATCACCCGATAATTCCTGTCTCTACCGATCGGCCCATAAGTATTAGTACTAATACTTCGGGCAAAACATTAAGTGATCGCCTGTTGGAGCCGTTGATGGAGTCGTTGCCGAAACTGTTTGTCGAGGACTACGTCCAGGAAATACTAATGACGGGAGAAATGAGTGCCGAAAACATACGATACGGACAGAAGTACTGGAAGAGAACCAAACACGTGATGCTCAGTGAGTAGTGGTGTCCACAAAACCAGATAAATATATGTATAAAAAGGATGGGAGGGGAAGTGAAGGGGCATTGAAGAGATAAACATTAAATTTATACGGTTATGTATAATTTAGAATAGTTATTGTAATAATAATTCACTCACCTACTTAATGTTTACTACACTATTAAGTAAAATAACATTTAAGCATGATGCATTGTGTATATAAGTAGTTATAGCAAAAAAATTATGTTAACCAAGATCTTTTTATTTGCCACCCATTAATGAGCAGCGCGTTTAGAAATGCTAAAATATGCGCTAAGTGTGGCCACCAATGATAACGAGCGCCAATTTCTGAACCGAGTTGTGTTAGGAATGGGCCGAAAACTGGGCAAATATTTAGACAATTTTGAACACTTATTGGGCGGCATTGGAGACGACATACTAATACACGCGCCCACTAATACGCTCGTCGAGAACCATCTAGTACTTTGGCGTGAAATGAAACGTGGTTCATTTGTACGCATGATGGCCACCGATTTGGTGCCCGCCTGGCACTTCATACAGCTCCGGGAGTATCTCAAACGTCAGCCTCAATACAAGCCGAGCCCGTTGTCTAACTTTATATTTTATATGGACTTTCCAGTTGAGGCAATGTTCAACTTTTACAAGAGTGTCATTGACTCACACGCGACAAATATAACGGCTGCCGAAGAGCTCGAGCTCTTCCAATTGGGCAATGAAATGAATCAACTCGATCTCAAATTTCATATAAGTAAGCAACAGTGGTATATACAGCGTGTATACAATATTTTGTCTCATTTTTCCATTGAAGTAATAACAATAGAAAAAGCAATGTATTGTATACACGATGTAAAGTCACTGTATAAGCAAACTCCAAAAGAAACCGCGTTATTATATGTGATATTAAAAATTATTATATTTTGAGATACAGTATATATTAATTTTATATACAAAACATATTATTTCGATAACAATCTTGTTTATTGTTGAAAAATAATTTCAAACTTTTAGCGATAAACAAACGCGGTTTCATTTCTAACTTACCTTTATAATTATCATAATGTAATAATAAAATTCAATTATGAATATACTGTACATATGTTTACATACAGTGCCTATCCTTCCAAAGGACAAAACATTATGCGATCGAGTGTTTGATTCAGTAGAGGACGCGATGGCGAAGATGTATAAAACAGATTTCGTTCAGAAAGTATTAATGAACGCAACGCTGAGTCCGGAAAACGTACGCTTCGGTCGCAACTACTGGAAGCGATCCAACGATTATGTTATGAGTGAGTAGTAAAATGTATTATTTAATTTACATGTTCATGTAAATAGGCATGTAACTACAGTAACTCTATGTGCATTTAAATGTGCATGTGCATGTAAATTACATTATTTTAGTTTACACTCACGGCTCGTGAGCGTGATTTACACGTGAACTTTACATTATAATAGAGTCTATGTAGTAGACTAATATAAATACCCATTTGGGTGAAGAGGGTTTATGCATAATAAAATACGCGCGGCATTATAAAATATAAATTAAACCATGCATTATTTCATCGCCCACAATAAAAACTCAATTAATACAGGTCGTTTTGAGGGATTAAAAAAATTCTCCACGATGGCTGCCAACGCTACTCATAATAAAGTACTGCACGGTTTTTTGAAAAACATGCTAGATGTGTTTGGCAACTATAACACAAAGTTTGAACAACTATTGGGTGGCGTTCCCGAAGAAGTGCGGCTCCGGGCGATGGACGAGTCGGCCATTGACTTTCAGCTAATCATTTATCGCGAAATGAAACGTGGTTCGTTTGTGCGCATGATGTTGGTAGAAATGGTGCCCGTATGGCGTACACTACACCTACGAGAGTACGTCAAACTCCAGCCCTTGTATCGGCCCCAACCCCTGTCTAATATGATTCTGTTTACGGACTTTAATTTGAGACATATTGTTACCTTGTTTAAAAATATTATCGATAGCCACAGCGCCAATATAACGCCGTCCGAAGAGCTCGAGCTGATCCAATTGGTCAAAGAATTGAAGGAAGTGGATGATCGATTTATTAAAGCTATGTATTAATACTTTGTACGTTCATTTTAACGAGTTTGTATTTATCAAATAAATGTTTTGTCTTTGCCATTGCGTAATTAAACTCAGTATTTATTATTAATATACCATGTTTATATTATTTATTTTAATTAAAATTAATATAACTATTGAAATGTCCTAACTTTATATATGATAAGATTTTATTATTTATATTATTTAATTTGGTATATAATATAAAATACATATCCAATGCTAACTCTACTATATTTAATTACAATCACAATACTGTACAAAATATTATGGTCCATAATTTGTACCATTGATAACACTAATAATCCAATCAATATAATTGGAAACTCGCATCCATATCATGATAGCATCAGGGTGATATGTGCCACACTTTGGCCCAGCAATGTTACCAACACTAGTTGAACCGTGAGTTATTCCAATCAGTACCGCCCGACCCGACACGTACTGCACTAATGGTCCCCCGGAATCGCCCTATAATTATATTATAAATAATCAATTTTGTGTGGGGTGGGATAGATTAAAAGTAACTGATCATGGTAAAACACATAGGTATTATGCATAGGTTTAATGACATTCATTGTTTGGTTAAGGGTTGTGAGTACTGACCAGACACGTTGCCGCACCCGTAACGATGTTGGGCACTACTCGGGCGTAGATATTTTTTGACTCGTCGTAATCGGTCATGTTGAGTCGGTGGGGTGGCACAATTTTGACCCAGCCCATTTGGCGTACAGTGGTTCTGGTGCCCGCGTTGTCCACTCGACCCCAGCCGGTGGTCAACGCGTACTCGCCATCGCCGGCGTTAAGCAAACCCCTGGCCGGCAAACAAACAGTGTTTATGAGCTCCCGATTGTGGATTACTATCTCTCTATCGAGATTTATTAGTGCCAAATCAGCGACACGTTTACTCGGATCGTAGTCCGGGTGCACCCGAGCCCGTGAATTAGTGTAATATATAAATTTTGGCCAAACACTTAAGTCAATGGCGCCAATAAGTACCTCAACCATCGGCGGACATAAGTATCTCAATTTGTTGCAACTATGCGTTTGTAAAGTTTGACAAAATGTTAATGTTTAACACAAATGACAAATAGTAATAATAATTATTAAAGTAGGTTTTTCTTTGTTAAATCTTATAAGTAGATGTGGTAGGATTGTAATGACTACAATGCGCAAAGTAAGTATTGGCGAAATATTATAGTAGAATAATATACAATATGGTAATTAATAAAGTAAAAAATTAATAATCGCATTATAAATTATTTTTTATTCTTTACCCGGATATAAGTTAATTTTGCATTATGTAATAATGTTCTCACCTAAAGCAATGAGCGGCTGTAATTATCCACCATTTATTAATAATTGATCCAGTGCAGTACCCCACAGAATCACTATTGATTATTGCAAAATTTTTAAATATTATTAATATTTGAATTAATTGTTTGATTAAATTAAAAATCTGTCAAACGATTCTACCATTATTATTTAACCTTCGTCTTCTTATTTTACAGTATAATTATTATTTAATTAAAATATATTTTTAAAATATGTTTACTTTGAATAAATACCAAATGCTGTGATCTTTATGTGAACCGCAAAAGGCATTTCCCCGGCGGTGGCGTCCCTTCCGTTTGCTATACGACTTATGGCAGAGGTTTTGTGATAAGTGAAACACTTGTCGTCCATAAGCATCGATTCCCGACCAAATCCGCAGTCACTGTCCGTGACGTTAGGGTAGTTTTGGATCTTAACGTGAACGCTATGTGTATCACTCACTCCTATTACCATCACTTCAATTGAATTTTAATTATTGTGTTATGTTTTAAATAATTCCTATAATACCTACCTATAGTTGTAATAAACAACAATAGTTTTATGTTTAAAAACATTTTGTTTTATTTAAAAAAATAATAAATTTTAATATTTTATGAATTAAACGCAATAATTAATAATTATCTGTTTTTGTATTTTTATTTGTAAATTCTTAAAAGTATTTTATACTTATACAGTATATTCTATTGTATCTCATATTGGATATCATATTGTATTTCAATCACTTTACAGTATTTATTACAATATAACAATTCAATACATGGTTTCATTAAAAATTTCATTAATATATTAAATTGAATACCTGCGTGAATGCCCTCACATACTGCTATAGCTATCATTTCAATTGATTTTAAATGTATTGAAATAATTATTGTTTTATTTCTCTTAATAATTAATGCTTACCTGTAAATTAGTACATTGTAGTAATTGTAACAAAAAACAACAATGAATTTATGGGAAAAAATCATTTTGTTTAAAATAAAATTATTTAGATAAACAATAATGTAAAATTAATTCATTAAAATAAAATGTAAATTATAATGGCTTATCATTGATTTATTTTACAAAGTCCCTGTTTTATTTCAAATAAGGTCCGTACAGAGCCGGTGGCAGCATTAGTTATACATTAGTCATAGTGCAGACAACTCATACATCTCATTCAATGCTGTATGAGAATAAATAACGTTTTATAATTAAATAATTTTTAATTTGATATTTTAAAATATTTACTAATCAAATGTGCATAAAAATAACGATTAGATCCGTCGTCATTCTGATACTATTAAATAAATTTTATTTTACAAATATTTAATCTTTAATACAATAAGTTTGAATTTTAATTATTATCATTATTTAAAAAATTTTGTTCAATAACTAATACACGTCTAATATTCTTTGTCCAATTATTTCGCGTAATAGTTTTAAATATTGTTTTAGTTAATTTAATAAACTCATCAGGATTATTATTAATATTGCGTTTTGCGACCCGTTTTTAAAATAACGCCCAGATTTCTTCAATTGGATTTAACTATTGAAATAATAAAATAATTAATAATAAAATATATAACTTGATAAAGTTAATGTTTAACTAATTAATAATAAACTAACTTCACAATTAAATGGAGGTAATCTTAATACAATATGACCCGCGTCTTCTATAATTTTGTCGACAACATATTTGTTAATTGAATGACTTTTTGCTAGTTTAAAAGTTATATTAAATTATTAAAACATCAAAATTATTATTGATTAATAATTTAAAAGTAATAAAGCATGCTCAAATGCTATTAATGATTGTTATCTATAAATAAATAATTTATAAATTTAAATTTATAAATACAATGCACATTTAATAGATTTATTTTACATAAGTCCAAATATTAGTTTTAAAACCCAAAATGAATCTCTCTCTCTCTCTCTCTCTAAACGAGAATTACTTTTAGAATTAATTTACTTTTCTCTATATATCTGTCTCTCTGTAGTAAATTTGAGAAAATCGAGATTATTTAATAACAATGTTGTAGTAAAATTTATTGTATTAGGTGTATAAAAAATAACAATTGTTAACCAAAAAAGTATTTCTTATGCATATATTGTAAAATATTGACTTATTTTACATATATCATTGTCGTTGAAAAATTTTGTAACGGTATAATAAAAATTAACTTTATAAATAAAAGAAACATATACCAATTATATTGATAGTAAATATAATAAATCAGAGAGAGAGAGAGAGAGCGAGTTTCAATTTATAAATTTTTATTAATATTAAAATAAACTACATTTAAAACATACAATATTTATATTTGTTAACAAATTATAATCAATCAAAATAATTTAACTGTGAAGTCAATAATTAAACAATATAAACCAATTTTACATTTGTGAAAAAAATTTATTTATTAAAATAAGGAGAAAAATAAATCAACGATTAATTTAACGATTGGATCATTTATTGGTTGACCAGAAACTCCTGACCAATAATTGATATTGCTTGCGATATTTTCAATTAGTGTCGGCTCATATTTGATCAAGCTCACTTGCTCTAAAAAAATATAATTTAACATTGATTATAAAGTGATATTGTGATTAAAAATATATTGTGATTAAAAATACCATAAATCATACCATCCTTTAATGACTTGATTTTATCAAATATTTCATTCAAAAATATGCCACAATTTTCGTTAAAATTTTCAATCGTTTCGTAATTATATTCTTTATATTGTGATAAATGTATCGTTTTATAAGTCATTTGAAGTTCATTTGCAAAATAATCAAAACTATTCGTATAATTAGTTCGAAATAAATTTTTTATATCGATATTAAATATAATACTATCCCAAATTACGATGACTTTGTGACTTCTATCATAGAATGAAAACATGGCGTATAATTTGGCCATGGCGATATTATTATCAGCAAACAAATTAATAGCAGATTTGTCCATTCGATACAACCCATAATTGTCAATATATTGTCCGCAAAAATAAATAAATCCATTGTTTGTTAAAAAATATGTTTGACTGCCCGCCGGACACACCGTTTGAATGTTAAACAGATTATCAATAATTTGTGGTTTTAATATAAACCGCTCACTTGTATTGTGTCCCAAATTATAATTATTAATCATTAATCATTAATCAGCTTTGTTGGTCTAGAGGTAAAATCTCTAGGGCAGATCAATGTGGCAGGTCCTGAGTTCGTTACCCGTCAGTGACGAGTTTCACAATCTGTTTTTCCAACTTAATTACAGCTGAGAGGGTAGTCGGCGTGCTCTCGTTAATACGGACGCTAGTGAAATGTAAATATAAATTAATATAAAAGACCCCCTCATGGAAGATCAGCTATGCTGAATGAGCAGGGTCTCTAAATATCAATAATTTCATTTCATTATAACCCCAACTAAATACTCTGCCCTCAGATGTGACAGCAAACGACGAGGTACCACAATAGGCGGATTTTATTTTATATTCATTACCATTGTGTATAAATTGAATTTTAATTGGTATTTGTATCATGGTAGATTGCTGTTGATTGCAACCCAGCTGTCCACAGTCATTACCGCCCCATCCGTAGACACAGCCATCACTGGTCAGCACAAGTGATTGATAATAACCGCAACAAATATCACTGATATTAAGATTATGAGATAATGATATGATAATTGGTTTTTCATATTTTTTGTGAGATAATTGGGCTAATTGTGACCATTCATTATTACCCCAACCGTATAAAGTGTTTTGGTTATTACGGGCTAACGTGAATGAGCCACCGATAATAAACTGTTTAATATTATGTAGACATAATTGTAGTATAACCTGTGGTGTATTGACAGCCCTATTGTGTCCCAAACCGAGTGATCCGTAATAATTAGATCCCATGCCGTAAACCATATCATCGTTTGTCACAAACAATACATTAAAACCATTGATGTCATGAAAAACGTGAAATAATTTAATAATATTGATATCAATTTCATTGTTTATAAACATTTCGTTTTGTGTTATAATTAAATTTTGGATCATTTTACCCGACAAAAACTCTGAAACAACGTTGTATTCATGTTGCTTGATGTTATTCAGTATATTCTTGTAATTGAGATCATTAATGACATGCATTGCATCGATAGACCAGTAATTATACTTTTGTAATACTTGTCGACAATCGGGTCTATCGAACGGTTCCAACGATTGCATAGAAATCAATAATTTTTGTAATTCAGTCACACTTTTAGATAGAGTTT